TAACAGGTCTGTCCTGGAAGAACTGCAGCCAGAATGCTCCTTGGAGGCGAGAATGGCCAGACTTCGTCTCACCTCCTTTGGTCATGTTGTCAGAAGGGACCATTCTCTGGAGAAGGAAGTCATGCTTCTTAAGGTGGAGGGTCAACAAAAGAGGGAAGACCCTCAATGAGGTGGATTGATATCGTGGCAGTGGTGATGGGCTCAAGTGTAGCAAGAATCATGGAGCTGGCTCGGGACCAGGCGGTGCTTTGTTCTGCTGTACATGGGGTCACTATGAGTTAGAGACAACTCGATGGCACTTAACAACAACAACAGTGTTTCTAGCAGTGTCCAGCACAGTAAGCACCCTGTCAGTGTTAGTTACTAGTGTCTTCCCACTGGCACCCTCTTTAGCTCTGGGTGTTACCCGTTCTCCCCTTCCATAATAACTCAAGGGAGCTGGTAGACTTGAGGAAACAGGAAGTGTCGGTGAGGTCACCCTGAGTATGGTGGCATTAGGCCTTTCCCATGGATTAGAATACATGACTGTGGTGGTAGCTGGGGACGTAAAGGCCCAGTAGGGGTGTGGGAGGGTGAGGGACGGTCACTAAGTAGATCTGGTGCTCTGGTGTCTCTGCAGAAAGGCCGCTGTGTCCTCTAGGGCAGGTCACTGCATCTGTGCTGTGGGGGGCCGGGGGCTCTGTTGGTCAGCAGGGCAGGAGCAGGGGTGAGGAGCTGGACCTGACCCAGGGAAAAGCAAGGACGTGTCAGAGGGTAGTGAGCGCATCTCACTGTCACCTCCGGTTCTCAGCAGAGTTCTTTTGTAGCCAGGCCTGACCCAGAGCCACACAGGAAGGAAGCCTGGGGCATGTGATCCCAGCGAAGCTGAGACAGCCCACCAGGCCCACCCAGCCAGCACTCCATCCCTGTTGAGCAATTTCTGTTTCTGTTTTCTCAGGTGGCAGTGCTGATAGTGTCTTGTCTCAAATCGCCGCCCAGAGGAAAAAGGCAGCTGGCTTATCAGAGCAGAAGCCCAGCCGGCGATCAAGCCCTGTCAGGCCAGCGCCAGGGTCCAGCCCGTCGGAGCTCCCTGTCTCTCCAGCAGGGGGCAGTGTTCCTGGCAGCAAGGTAGTGCTCTATAGCTTCTTACACTTGCCTCCTTCCTAACCTGGCCCCAGGTGCTGGGGGCTGTGGGTGTGGCACAGCAGTGGGACAGGGTTAACAACAGTTTCCTTCCAGCCAGTCGCCCTTGGCTTCCGTCTCCCCTGAATCCTGTGAGAATCACCAAGAGCCCCCCAGTGCCCTGCCTGGGGATGTGGTTCCCACCCAGTCTCCAGGTCAGGAAGGGTGGACACCAGGCTCTTGCAGGCCCCGTGGTGGTCAGCCCCACATTGTGCCCATTCGTGCACTGACGAGAGCAGAGTGGTTTTGAGCGTGGACTCAGGAACCAGACTGCCTGAGCCCAACTCCCAGCCTCACGCTGGGGCCTTTACTAGGGGCCCTGCGCTTGGTGAGCCCTCTGTAGGCCTGAGCTAGTCCTGGTGCCAGTATCACTGTACTGTCAGGACTGGCCTGTCCCTTCATTGACCACACTCTGGCAGCACCTGCTCTGTGCCTGGCCCTGCCATAGCAGCAAGGACCCTGCTGTCCAGCCGTGAACCCAGGTGTTTGGGGTCCACCCTCAAGATGCTTGCGGTCAGCAGGGGATATCACTCCAGACCCAGTAGGCTCACCTCGGTATGGCGGGGGCGGTCATGGAGGATGCTGTGAGACACAGGCCGGGGTCCCGACCCAGGCTGAGGACATCTGTAACATCCAAACAGGGGTCTGAAGGGTGAGGAGCCAGATGGTGGGAGTGGGCGAGAGATAAACTGTTGCAGGGTGAGGGAGCTCCATGGGCAGCTCCAGAGAAAAACGTGGGGTCGGGGAGCTGGAGGAAGGTCTGAGGGCAGAGCCTGATGAGCCCCCCTCCTGCTCCTGGGCACCGTGCCTCTGTTCTGCATTCCGAGTGCACACATTGTTGCAGCTGTCTCACTGCTACTCTTAGGAGTTTGCAGCGGATGAGAAACGCCTGTCTGGAATGGGAAGTCCTTTGGTGTCTTTGGAATCTGTCAGTCCACCTCCCGGCCCCTCTTTGGGGTTGGTGCTCCGTTGGGCAGTGGGCAAGCCCCAGAGTGTGGGCTCCTAGTTGTGCCTGTGCCGCTTCTCCTCCCGACCAGACCCCCCCCCCCAGTGGGGCAGAGTAGCTTGTTTCCGCCTCTGAGAGGACCCTGAGTCCAGGCAAAAACCTCCCGCTTCATCATCACATTTTCTAGCTCTCTTAAGCTTTTTTCCTGAGAGAAGTTAGGTCCTGAGAAAACCTCATGCCTGGACTTTGGCCCACCACAGAAGAACCTCCAGAAACTTGTGTTTTCATCGATGAAGGAAAGATATTTTTCATTTTCTGCCCAACCACTGTTGGGTACATAATACATTTTGTTGTTTAATATCCCTTGTGCAATCAAAAACCAAACCCACTGCCATCGAGTCATTCTGACTCATAACGACCCCCGTTGGGTTTCCAAGGTGCGGTAAATCTTTACAAAAATAGATTGCCCCATCTTCCTTCCACGGAGCAGCTGATGGTTTGAACCACTAACCTTGTGGTTAGCAGTTAGAGGCCTTACGCATTGTGCCACCAGACGTCCTTCCTTGTGCAATAGGACCTGCATAATTAGGTTCGTTTCACACTTTAAGGATCCCTGGTGGTACAGTGGTTAAGCTCTTGGCTGCTAACCCAAAGACTGGCAGTTCAGACCACCAGCCACTCCATGGGAGAAAGATGTGATAGTCTGTTTCTGTAAAGATTTACAGCCTTGGAAGTCCTATGAGGCAGTACCCCCATAGGGTCACTATGAGTCAGAATCAAGTTGAAGGCTGTGGGTTTGAGGGTTTTTTTTTTTAATACTGAAGCTCCAAAAAAAAGTTTTTTCCCCCTGCACATTAGCATATTTTCATAATGTTCGGAATTACTTGGGTAATAGGACTTTATAATTAAGCTTGTTTTGAATTCAGCCCTAGAAAAACTATCTCCACTGTTACTTTAACACATTTTCTTTTATTAGCTAGAAAGGATGATGTAATTGTTGTATTTCTTTTTTTGCCTTTGCTGCTAGGAAACTCAGAGCTACTCATTAAAGTAAGTGTACTAGTCTGGTGCTTTGCTAAAGTTTTCCTCTTCTCTGTTGTCTGAAAGTTTTTGTTTCTATTTTGATGGTTTTGACCTTATGTTAGCTATTATTAACTCCCTTTAATCAGTGCTGGAAATAGGTTGGCTAGATCTAAGTTGTAAATCATACTGTTACCTTGCTTGGCTACATCTGTCATATGTAATCTATATAGTTTATTCTGATGGAAGGAAGTTGACTTTGTCAAAAGATGCACTCAGGAAACAGTAAACTGGGCAAAGGAGCCATTGCAGTGATCACCTGATGTTCTTAACGTGGTCATGATGCTGTCCCCTTAGGAAGCTGTTTAAAATTCAGGTTCTGAGCTCCCCCTGAGCCTGACTGAACAGACTGAGGGTAGGGTCTGGGCAGTCTCCTTTGTGCCCCCAGAGAGGCTGTTGCGGCCAGCCCAGGGCTCTTAGAAATCACGGCCCTAAATCCAAGGACTCAGAAGTGGGTTTTCTGTCAAAGGCTCCAGCAGCAAAATGGAGGCCAGAAGAGCTTCCAAAGACTCCCTTAGGAAGAAGTGGAAATTAGTATTCAGAACATGAGCCTCCTGATTCTGGTTTTTGCACTTTGCTTAAAATATGCACCTCACTGTGCTGGCATATTCCCAGGCATGGATTCTAGCACGTCTAGGACTTAGCGTGAAGTGAGCCTTGGAGGACCCAGGAGTGGTGGACTCACAGTCCGCACCAGCACTTCCTGGGCCCCTGCAGGCCCGAGTGGGCATGGGCCCCTGCAGGTCCGAGTGGGTATGGGCCCCTGCAGGCCCGAGTGGGCACACGAGCACACAAGAGGTGCATTGGTTTCTATTTACCCTACCGCTCGGTGGCTGAAAACAACATCGTACATTTAGGTCATTAATCTATAGGTTGGCAGTTTAGTCTGGGCTCAGGTGGGCAGTTCTTCTGGCCTCAGGGGAGTGGGAAGGGCAGGGAGGGAATTACTTATATGTCTGACAGTGGGCTGGCTGTCAGCTGGGGTGACCAAGATGACTGGGTCGTGTGTGTCCCACTTTGCGGTGACCTAGCTGACACATGATCTCGTGGCAGTGGCAGAAGAGGAGAGTTGAACAAACGAGTGGCTTAAGCTGGTCAGCACACTTGCTGGAGGAGAGCTCGGAGTTAAAGGACAAAGGTGTGGGTCCGGGGGGAGCTGCAGATGCTGTCGTGAGTGCACCCTGTCTGCCACACCGGGGACCTCAGCGGTCGTTCCAGGATTTCAGAGAATCTCATGATGCTGTGTTTACCCACTCTTCCTCCAGTCAATATGCAGAGTATCCCAGTTCTTAGCTTTTGGCTGAATTGGACCCATTTTGTAGGATGTCCTAGTTAACTCCTACTAGTAGAGATGTACTAGTTAACTCCTACCATTTTGTAGGGATGTCCTAGTTCACTCCTACTCATGATAGAAGCAGCAGAGGGAAGGGTTTGTTGAAAATATTAGCAGCTCATTGACAAGAACCTTTCAGAGTTTAAGGGAGGAATGTCTGTTTCTGCTCTGGGATGTAGTCAGCTGGAAGAAGCATTGAAGACCCAGCACAGGGAGAGACGTACCTACTGCCAGGTGGGAAAACTAGGTGTCTTAGTCTCTGCTGGCCTGAGCAAGAAGCCTGGCTTCAGCAGAAAGGATAAGGCATTTGAAAAGGTGAGAAAAATACGATCCCAAGAAACAAAGCTGTCATCAGCATCAGACTCAGGTAAGACCCAGGTGCTGGAATTAACTGCCCAAAACCCAAAACCAAACCCACTGCCATCGAGTCACTTCTAACTCATAGAGACCTGTAGGGTTTCCAAGGCTGTAAGTCTTCATAGAAGTAAATTGCCTCATCTTCCTCCTGCACAGCAGCTGATGGGTTTAAACTGCCAACCTCTGGTTAGCAGTCCAATGCCTTACCCGCTGCACCACCAGAGCTCCTTGAATTATCTGACAGGGAATTTAAGGTAACTACGATGAATATGTTAAAGCTCTGATGGAAAATGTGGGCAGCATCAAGGTCCTATGGGTGATTTCAGCAGAGTGATAGAAATGGTAAGAAAGGACCAAACTGGAGTGCTAGGAAGAAAGAACAGGAACAGAGCTGATGGATACCTCTGTGGCTTACCAGTGGACCTGACGCTGGCAAAGAAGGAATTGGTGAACTTGAAGGTAGGTCAGTGGAAATTACCCAAACTGAAACACACACACATAAAAGAACAGAACACCCAAATGCTGTGAGATAATAGCAAAGCTCTAACACTTGGCAATTGGAATTCCCGAAGGAAAGTGGGGAGAGAGAATACAACTGAAGAAATATCAAAAGAATTAATAATAAGACCTTCCCAAAATCACTGACAGACGCCAAACCACAGATCTGGGAAATTCAAAGAACAGTAAGCGGGATAAATCCTAAGAACCAAGAGGACACCCTGGCCATATCATATTGAAACTACCTACAGAAAACAAAAGACAAAGGGAAGATCTTGAAGGCAGCCAGGAAGAAACGAGTGAATGTGCTCCCTTTTTCCTCCTGGGCTGTAGTCATCTCTGTGCTCCAGGCAGTTGCTTACATAGCTGCCTGTCTTCATTCTCTTCTACGCAGGGTCGCGGTGAGTGGGAGCCGACTCGGTGGCCCCTAACAATAACAACAGTGTGTTTCCTCTCTCCAGCAGAAATCGGAGACGAGCCAAAGGCCTCAGTCTGGGACATCGACTACCTCCAAAAGCACCTCCCCGACCCTCACGCCCTCCCCGTCGCCCAGAGGGCACACCGCGGAGTCCTCGGTGTCGTCCTCCTCGTCCCATCAGCTGTCCAAGAGCAGCGGGGGCTCCAGCAGCGGCACCATCACCGACGAGGGTAAGTGTCCAGGTCGCCCGCCAGGTGACCTGCGAGCAGAGCTCGGGGGCCTCTGTACTGCAGCATTCCTGGGTCAGGTGTCCTTCCCTTTCTTTCCTTTTAATTTACACAAAAAACTGCCCTCCCTTCTCACTGTGCTGAAGTAGGGAGCCTTGTTATGGTAGACCCCCAAAAACCAAACCCTCTGCCACTGAGTCCCCTGCACTCATAGTGACCCCACAGAACAAAATAAAACTGCCCCAAAGGGTTTCCAAGGCTAAATCTCTGTGGAAGCAGGCTGCCTCATCTTCTATGGAGCTGCTGGTGGGTTCAAAGCGATCCAAGGTCATGGTGCAGGTCGTCCTCCAGACTCCTGTTCAGGTCTTGTTGCCACGGCGGCTGGGAGGAAGGTCGGTGCTGAGCAAATGAGGAAACGTTGAGACCCGCGGCCCGGGCTCCGGTGCACCGAGCTGCCGCAGCCCTGCTGTGCTCCACATCCTCTCTCATGTGGCAGCTGCTTTTGTCATTGCATGGTGTCTATCGTGATCTGGTGACGCGGTGATTGAAGTGCTTGGCGGTTCAAACCCACCAGCTGCTCCACGGGAGAAAGATGAGGCAGTCTGCTTCTGTAAAGACTGACAGCCTTGGAAACCCTATGGGACAGTCCTCCTCCATCTTCCGGGGCAGCTGTGAGTTGGAATCCGCTTGACAGCAGTGGTTTTGGGTTTTTGGCACCATCATTTAGAAAGGCAGCTTTGTTCCTTCCTAACTGTGTTCCCCATGGTGGCGTCTTAAGTTTCCCCACTCACGGGTCTCCCACTTCTGAAGTTTTTGGGAATTAAACCCATAAAGATTCAGTTAGAGATTTGCTTTCCTAAAACAAGTTGAGGCTGTATTTTCGTGTGTACAGACGATTAAGCCTGGCTGCTACCGAAAGGCTGGTGGGCGGAACCCCCCAGAGGCGCCTCGGAAGACAGGCCTGCCAACCTGCGTCTGAAGGGTCATGGCACTGAGCAGTTCTCTGAAAGGACGTGGGGTCGCCGCGAGTCGGAATCAAAGGCCCCGGTGCTGTGCGTGCACTCCCTCTCCTCTCTCCCTTATTCATTAGAACGTGGGTAGATGTTGACAGAAGAAGGGTTACCAGGCTCTGATTGGGATAAAGAGAAAGAGGGGTGCAGCCGCAGTTTCTTTCTTGGTCCCTTTCCTGGGCTTGGAAAGCTGGCTTTTCGTTCCTGGAATTCCGGGGTCATGAGTTAGCCAGACGTTTGCCCTGTGCACGTGAAGTTGTCGCGGGGCGGCACTGCCGCCCGCCGGAACAGCTGCCCTCCCGATGCTCCTGTAGAAGCAGGGTAGCCCCAGGCGAGGTTGCGGCGGCTTTCCCCATCTCTCCACCTGCGTCCCTTCTCGGGCCTTTGCCTGCTGATGCTGGGAAGGCCTGTGACAGCATCACCTCTGAGTCTCCCTTGCGTTTCATGACGGTTTCTTGCCCAGCCCCTGAGGCCGTGACCTTGCCAGATGTTTAGGTAACCCACAGTCTGTGCCCTGAGCGGTTCCCAGTCTGTCTGGGGAGAAGTGTTCAACATAATAGTACTAAATGACTGTAGGACGGAAAGGGGTCAGACCTGTGTTCTGAGCAGAGCACAGTGGGCGTGGGCGGCTTCACTAAGGAGCCCGCCTCTGGGCTGGGCCATGAGCTGAGAAGACAGGGCAGTGGTGTGGCAGGGCCGGCTAGGCTGGCTCACGAGTAACCAGTTACTAAGCATAGCCATTACTCAAAGTTAAATCATACGAACTCACAGTGGGAATAATTACATCAAACATAAAAGTGCATTGATTATATTAAGTAGGAGAATCATTTACTCGTTTCCTGCGTGTGTTACCGTTCTCTGCCCTTAAGGTATTTGCGTGTTCTGTGTCCGTGTGGCAGGGAGACTTCGTAGCTTGGTACTTCGGTGCACATCTCTCCCAGCTTGGCCTTCAAGGCCGTCACCTTGGCAGCTTGAAATCAGCCATGATTGGAGTGTTTACACCATGGCAATCAGACCACAGCACCAATCAGGGCCTGATTGATTGTTTTATAGATTGCCCAGATGTGAGAAAGCGATGTTAGTAACAAAGTATCATTGCGTCTGTAGCCATTACATTGTGAAAACCATAGAAAAATCGAGGAATTGTTCATTTAGTATTTGAACCTTTGTCTGACTTAGCAAAGTGGCTCACATGACCATCCAGCCTACACCTCTGCTGTCCGTTTTTGTTTTACGTGTTCATATAAACAGAGAGATCTGCCAGCATTCGTGTTGGAACTATGCTTGTGAGCTGTGGATGCAAGGGTTGGGGAAAAATTAGTAAGGGCATTTGTGGAGAGTGCATTGACTATGTGAACTTCACAGTGCAGAGTGTCATGTACTTCATTGAGGCTTGTAAATTGTGGGCGATACATCCTTTATGTTAGCAAACTTTACAGTAAACGTACACACTGGTAAACATGCATCCAGCTCCCCCAGAGAAGGAGTCATTAGACATTGTGGAGAGAGCTCTGTGTCTGCATGGAGAGCAGGGGCCAAGGGTTGGTATCATGAAGGTGGCCCAGAACTCAATTAATCTCACATACACCAGCTCAGTGGCAGCTTTTCCATAAAGCCCTCCCTAGTTCTTGGGCTGGGCCAGCTGCCCTCTCTGTCCCCAGAGTCCCCATTGATCTCCTCACCAACTTTTCCAAACAGATGGGAGAGGTTGTGGTGCTTATGAGGAGCACTCCTGGGGGCTGGCTCTGAATCCCTGCTCTGCCAGGAACTAGTGTTGTGACCTCACTCGAGATAAGGTGCCTGCCTTTCTGTGCCTCCCTGTCCTCATGTGTAGGTGGGGACAGTAGTAGGGCCCACCTCACTGGGTGGTTGTCAGGCACCACTGAGCCATCCGTGTACAGGTTACGGTGCGCGCTGTGCCTTGCCTTCATCCTCATCACCGTGCCTTCCCGTCAGGCACCTTCCATCCTCGATCCCCAGCACAGACCAGCACTCACTGAATGAATCCCCCACACTCACTGAATGAATTTATGAACAAATGAGAAGGCACCCGGGCCTCCTAACCTCCAGCCCACTCTTTGAACGGTACCCACTGCCTTGGGGCCTTTGCACCTCCCAGTCCTGCTGCCTGCATTGCCCTTCCCAAGGTACACGCGTGGCTCAGTCGTTTTATGTACGGCTTTAATGTCACTGTTTCCCCTCCACGAAACGGCGTCTGCCTGTGCTCCGTTATCCACCCTCCCTGCTCTGCTCCTCCTCTCTCCAGGTGACTAACAGCCTGCCCTCTCTGTCCCCAGAGTCTGTTTTGGTCCCCACTGAAGCCCCACTGCCTGCTCGGGTAAACCTCTGTTGGACTTGGGAGTGAGTTATTTCTTCCACCCCAGATGCACATCTTGCCTCCTCTCTTTATCCTTCCCGCTCTGATCTCTTGATCCCTGAAAGCTGCTCCTGCTTTCCTCTGCTCTGTGCCCTCCTGGGGAAGCCCACAGCCTCCTCACACACTCGAGCCCGACACCTGACCCTGCTCCGAGGCCCACCTGCCTGTTAAGTTCCTTCCCTGATGAGCTGAGGACTTGCTGGCGTGATTGCAGGCACTGCAAACAGCAGTCAGGACTGTCCTTTAAACATGATCTTAGGCAGAAGAAGGCAGTTTTTGTCCAAGAACTTGAGAGTTTCCAGTTTGAGATGTCAGCTTGGCTGTGACCTCCCACTTCTCTTTGCAGCCCGTTTTGGGGTTGTGGGAGGGGCCACGGGTGTGCAGTGAAGGGAGAGGGCTGACCCAGGACCCAGCTCCAGCCGCCTTCGCAGGAGAGCAGCTTGGATCTGCTTTCTGGGCGGGGGTTCCTTGGAGGACTTCATCAGAAGTAAGATCACCTCTGTTTTGCATGAAGGTTTGAAGGCCATTCTTTGGATATGTTTTATGAGATTCTAAAATGTGGTTGTCTTACCTCTTTCTCTCTTGAAGATGAGCTGACTGGAATCCTTAAGAAATTGTCACTTGAGAAATACCAGCCCATTTTTGAAGAACAAGAGGTAAGGATGTTTTTGTTGAGTATCCATTCAACTCCTGCTGTCAATGAAGAATTTGTTTCTCTAACTATGTGGGCTTCTGCTCTGCATGCCTAGGTCGGGCTTTTTCACGGAGGCAGCTAAGCAAATAGATTTGGTGTTGAGCACATTTAGTTAGCTCTTCACGGTGAAATCCTGGGGCCTTACGGCTTGTTTTGTTGTAATAGAAATTTGTAGTTTCGAACACTGCTTTCTCTAGTGAAGTTTGTATCTGTTGTACAAACGTTTTGCTGACAAGGATTGATGGGTGGCCAGGCCAATAGCAAACCCTACTGAAACGGTGTTAACTGTGTAGGCATCGGGTCAGTGTTAATCTGAGAGAGGGCCTCTTTGCTTAAAAGCACTCAGAGTCACAGTTTGAAAAATTACTGTTGTGGAGTTTAATAGCAGCTCAGAATGTTAAGTTACTCTGTGATCCAGCAGTGCCATTGTAGGTGTGTTGCTGCTGCTGGTAGGTGCCGTCGAGTTGTCTCCAACTCATAATGACCCTATGCACAGCAGAACAAAACACCTCCCGGTCCCACACCAGCTCCATGATCCCTGCTATGTTTGAGCCCATCACCACAGCCACTGTGTCAATCCATCACGTTGAGGGCCTTCCCCTCTTTCGTCGACCCTTTACCTTACCAAGCATGACATCCTTCTCCAGGGAATGGTCCCTTCTGATAACATGACCGAAGTAGGTGTGCAGCCGGGAGAAATGAAAACATGTCCACACAAGCTCTCACACACAACATAGAGCAGTATTACTCATAACAGCCGAAAGGTGAAAGCACCCCAAATGTCCATCAGCTGGTGAATGGATAAAAAACGCGGTATGTCTGTGCCGGGGACTAGCATCCAACAACACAGATGAACACAGTACTGATGCTGCAGTACTGATCATGCTACAACATGATTGAACCTGGAGAACACGGTGTGATGGTATGTGAACAAAGCCAGTCACTAAAGGCCACGTGTTACACGATTCCATTTACATGCGGTATCCAGAATAAGTGACTCTATAGACAGAAAGTAGATTAGTGGTTTCCTGGGTGGAGGAGATGAGGCAGCAGGGGTGACTGCTTAATGGGTATGGGGTGTCTCATGGGGGTGATAAAAATATCCTAAAATTGATTGTGGTGCTGGTCAGACACTCTGTGACTCTGCTGAGAATCATGGAATTAGGTAACGAATGGGTGAATGGTCTGCTGTGGGACTCGGATCTTGATACCACCGTTCTAGAATGTGCTGCTTCGGGTATATAACCCACCCCTGCCGGCCACCAGCCCGCACTGTAGTCACCAGTTACAAACATTCTGTCACAGCTGGTACATGGCAGCCTGCCAGTCACAGGAGCAGACGTTCGAATCACTCGTCGTCCCTGCGAGTTTGAGATCCAATTGAGGAGTTTGTTCTTTTGTTCAGAATCACCCGAGAGGCCCAGTGGCTTTCTTCCTCAGTTTGTTTCTGTCCTGTCCAGTCTGGCGTCCCCGCCTCTTTTGTGTTTCAAAATTCAGCAGTGATTTTTCTTGTCACCCCGAAATTTTTCCTGCTCACTGACAGCCGTCTGCTGCTTTGGCTGCACGTCCTATGTCCTCTTGGGCCTGTGGTTGGGGTCTTGTCTGTAAGGCTGTGGCATTGTCTGTAAAGGCATCTTCCCAGTGGAAGAGGGCCTGGCCAGGTGATACAGTCCCTTAATTCTTGGGGAAACCCATGATGCATTCATAAGGGGAAGTTCATGAGAGAAACCAGTGGACCGGGCATCTGCCATGCCTGATAAACAGCATGGCACTATGGTTGAGAGCAGGACCTCCACAGCCTAGGTTCAAATCCTGGCTCTGCCACTTACTAGCCATGTGACAATTTGGGAGCTAAAAAAATCTCTCTGTGCCTCTGTTGCCCTGTCTCCAAAATGGGACTAATGGGAAGATCAAATGACTTAGTCTATGTGAAATGTTAGAAAGGACTTTGCAGATAGAAACATCAGCTGCTCTTAGCCTCCCACCCTCTGAGGGTGAGACTGGCTCCCAGGGGACTGGATTCTGCCTGGGTGAGCTGCTTGCTTTGTCCATGCCACTTTGGTCCTTCCCTGCACCGGGCCTTGGAGGGACAGAGAACCTGCTGCGTGAACAGTGCAGCAGGGAGGCCTGGTAGCTTTCCCTGGGAGCAGAGGGCCTGCTTTGGATACCCGGGGTCTGGGCAGGGATGGGCGCTATTAGGACCCCACCGGCAGACCCCAGGGAGCGTACGGCCGGTGGTGCTGAGCACGTCACCGCCCTGCCCGTGGCTGCCCTGCCCTTCTGCTTGTTTACTTTCTCGTTCTGTCTTCCCACAGTCTGCGTCTCTCTCGTTCTTTCTGGGGGAGACACGGTGAGTACCGCCACACGCCCACATTTTGCTGTGCAGTGTCGAGTGTTCTTACCACTGTGGTAACTTTGGCATGAACTTTGTCAAGTGGGACGTAGATTTTGACCATCCTGGTCACTCAGACGGATCGTGGCATCTCGTGTGTGCAGAGTCCAACTGCACTTCGTAGGGTTTCCAAAGGGTTTCCTACCTTTGGGGGTAGGTCACCAGGCCTCTCTTCCCCGGCATCCCTGGGTGGGTTTGAACCAGCAGCCTTTCGGTTATTAGTGTAGTGCTTCATTTGCACCACCCAGGGGTTGCCGTGACTCAGAATCGGCTCACTGGCAGATGGCGGAGGTGGTGGCCACCACCCTGACTACTGTCTCAAAGACCTTCCTTGTTCCGTCTTCAGGGTTTTTCCAACATGCATCTATTTTGAAAACCCAAGGGTTCAAGCTGAGGAGAGTTAGTTTTTAATGAGAGCGAGTCTTCAGCTTTCATCTTTAAACATGAAGTCAGGAGCTGGAAGTTGTAAATAAGAATCAACTCACTCACTACTAAGAAGCCCTAAGAGCTCAGAGGGAGCTCTGGTAGCATAGTGCCTAAGGCATTTGACTGCTACCCAGAAGGCTGGTGGTTCAAACCCACCAGGCACTCCTCGGAAGGAAGGTTGGGCAATCTACTTCCGTAGTGATACTGCCTCGGAATCCCAAGGAGGGGTGGTTATGAGTCGGGTCCGACTCGATGGCACATAACAACAACAACAAGAGCTCAGAGCCGTGATATGTCTGTTGTGGGTGGCCAAAGAGAGGTGTGGCCCGGGCACTTGGCCCCAGATCCCCTTCTCTCATCCCAGGTGGACATGGAAGCTTTCCTCACGCTCACTGACGGTGATTTGAAGGAGCTGGGCATCAAGACGGACGGATCCAGGCAGCAGATTCTGGCGGCAATTTCTGAACTGAATGCGGGAAAGGTATCGTTCCCTTTTTTTTTTTTTCTTTTTTTCTGGTTTCAGACAACTGAGATGTTCCCCAGGGTCCCAGGCCCTTTGTGGTGGCATAATTGACCGAGGCCCCCTGGCACGCTGTGACCAGGCATTCACTATCCCCAGATAGTGGCCTGTTCCTTTCGGACTCTTCTCCAATTAGGTTATTTCTCCACACATCCAGCTGAGACGTTTCATCCCGTTGGACCGAGATTTGCCCCCCAGGGTGCCACAGAAGCAGAGCCCCTGGTTAAGATGGGCTCTGGAGTCAGGAGACCAAGTAACTCACTGTGTTACCAGGGACAAGTCACATACCTCTCTGAGCCTCCCTTTCTCGTCTGTTGGGTGGGAGTGGCGGGGGTTGTTGCGAGAGCTGCCACGCTCAGTTGAGCACCTGGCACACAGAGAGCCAGCAGCCGCTGCTTACTGCTGACAGCCCACATTTGTGTCTAATGTTGCATTTCAGCTTCATCAGCTTTAAAGCCCAAGATTAGCAGAGCCCCCCGCCCAGAGACCGAACAAGACAAGCAGAGCTAAGCGTCGCTGTGCAAACATTCGTTTTCTATGGTTGTGATTGGGCTGTTCAAACCCCTTTCCTTTGTCCTGAGAAAGGATGGACTTTTTGTTTGTTTGTTTCTATCCCAGTAACAGCACATGATACTTGCTAACCTGTGGCTTTTACACACTTGCCACCTCTTGGACAATTGTCGTGAGTGGAATTTTGCCATTAGAAATGATACCGTCATGGACCCTCTGCCTTCTCTTTCTCTGCCCACCGCAAGCCGTGTAACACAATACAGAGTCGTATCAGAGAGCGTGACCCGTCATGTTATTCTTTCTGTATGTCGCCAGGTTATGCACAGAAATCTTGAGCAGTCTGATAGCGCCAACAGCAGTTAACTGGGTGTCCCTTTACCAATTACGAGCCACGTCGTGTGCGTTCCTCTGGGACTCGTCCCCATGGCCCAGCTGAGTCTCGGGCTCTTTGTCCAGCTGGTGAGGAAGCAGGGGACGGGAGAGACGTACCCCGGCCCTGTCGTGAGCAGACAGCCGAGCAGAGCCTGGTCTAACTGCTCCCCACGCTCCCCTGCTGCTCTGCACCGGGCGGCCCAGCCCCTCCAGCCCCCCGTGCATAAGCTGGCTGGTTTTGTTGTGGCCATCGTTGTCACCCTCCTCGTTGTCACCCTCTTCGTCTAACCTGTCTCTGGAGCGTGAGGGGGCCCTTCAGTGATTCTGTCAGCTGTGCCCCAGGCTGTTGCAAGGCCGAACATGTCTCCTGGTGTCTGTAGCATTTATTTTTTCTCCCCTGAAGTGATGTGGTTCTAAGCATCACTCACCCCTGCTGTGGCCGCTGGACTCCCTCACTTTACGGCTAGGGGAGCTGAGGCTCCGAGAGGGGCAGTGGCCCTGAGTCCCAGAGCAGCACCCCATCAGCTCCGTGCATAGATGGGAGGGAGCAGGGAATGTGGGGGAGGTGGGTGGGGAGGTTACAGGGTGGACAGTGTCACCTGTTAGGAAGAACATCCCCCAGGTGGCTCACAGAAGATGAGTGAACTAGGCAAGCACTTCTGTTTTGGTGCATTCATTTATTCACAACACAGACTAGTGCTTTGGGTATCTGCCATGTCCCAGGTGCGACGTGGGTGAGAAACACTCAGGATCACTGGGTCAGGCCCTGTGCTATAAACACGTCATGTGTGTCATTCATGCTATCCTCACAGAACCCA